AGATGAATTTCAAAATGGCCGGCATTTTTCGTAAAAAACAAAATCTTTGATGAGTCAACTACCGGTGGACAGATTTGGTTCAAATGTTATATGCTAATACTTTTGGACAAATGAGCTCCGTTTCCAAGCATTTCTAAGATGCTTGCTACTGTATTCATCAAAACATATTTTGTTCAGTGGCTTTCGCTGCTCCTTGGAGTTGCTGTTTTCTAGTTATTTTCAAAGAAATATCTTTATCAACTTTATTTTCTTTTAAATAATATCGACATTATGAATAATGTGCATATCTCATTAAAGAAGTAAATCACTTCTAGTGTGTTTGCAGCCTATCCATATATCAAAATGATCTAAATGCTTGCATGTAATTTATATAACATACAAAGCATAGAGTGATGTGGTTAAACCCGTTAATGAAATTTTGATTTATGTTGACCTTTCAGATTTAATTCATGAACGCCCACACAAAATCAGCTCAAAACTCAGTAATATCCTGAATATGAGTCGTAGTGATATATTTGCACCCTTGCTGGAGAAAATGGGCGTGCCTGAAGTTACTGAATTTGGACCCGATCCATTCGGCTTTAATGTGAGGGATTTGAAGATGGAAAAGGTTATTGAATTCCTTGAAAATTCAAACAACACTGCGATGATAGAGAGAATCAATAAATTTACCGAAGGCATTCAGGTCAGCAGTCTTGATATAAGTTTTCTTTAAAAATTATTATTTACTAAATACGAGTAATTAAGCATTTATGTCCGAAATTGTTTCAGGATGAGATGAAATATCATATTTTACACTGATTATTATTACCTTACCTCAAAACAAATATATGGTCTTCATGACCAGAAAGAAACATTTCCAATAAACCCATGCCATTTGTGGTACGACGAAGAAACTACGGTACTGGATCGGTTGCCCTTTAAATCACTATCAACCATTTCAGAAAAATTTATTTGATATAAATGGATGTACTAGACCAGCAGAACTTGACGATACTGAACTCAGCCAAGTGCTAATCTTACAAGGCAATACAACTACAGGTCCACGAGACGTTTTACTTGATGCGTTCTACGAACTTAAAAGTGGTAACTCTAAAATTATGTGTACATTTGTAACATCTCAAATATCGGACCCGTCAGATGAAATGACAATTATACAAATAGCATTTGAATCGATTCTATTGCCTCATGTTGTTTAATAAGGTAAGTGGGTTATCATTCATAATATCACTAGACTATATTGAACCCTGTTGCTTAAATATCGTATTTGCATGATAACCCAAACTTACACCAATGGCCACATGTTCGCTAGAAGTCTCATTAAATAGACTTCGTAATATTATATCACTAGGTTAGTTTATATATTTTCTAGCAAATGTGCACCATCTTTTGTAATTTATTTATTTAATATTTGTTTATAATATTTATTTTATTTATTTATTATGGCGTAAAAAATCACGATACTTAAATGTCGAAACCGACGTTACTTGGACAGGGATGGGTCTTGTAAGTCAGGATGGTTGAACACAGATCATTTAAATCTTGTCATCTTTCTAAACGATCACAACTTAGGCTGTTTTTAATGTTTAGACTGTCCGAAACTACTCGAGCGAACACCTAGACACAGCTACTGCACCATAGACGAGGATTGTCTTGGCCTTTCGTGTTGTGTGGATATGCCATTGTTCTACGGCCAAGTTGTTTCTAAAGTATCCATCAAAGTCGATCAATGTAAAGAAACATTAACAGTACTGATCGGTGCCTGGAAAGCTGAATTTGACATATATGGATATCAGATAGGTAATTACATTTAATTTAGCAATTTCATGATTTATTGACAAAGATAGAATTTAAAAACGATAAAATCAGGAATTCATATCACAATGATATTAGTAATAAAACAACTAAAAGTATTTAAGATTACATAATACAGAATAGAAGAAACAAAAGAACATCTTTTCACAAGTATCAAACGATTATTAACTTCGTCTAAATGTCATTTGACAACCTTCATTACCATCCAGAAACAATTACCTCTGTCCAAACTCACAAATGTCACAATTGGACATTTCCATTGGACACCGTTTCTTCAGTTGATGTTTTATAACTTTATTGTACTTGGAGATATCGGAGTAAATGAATTCATATTAGAAGATGATGATGTTTTTGCTTTGGCACAGCAATATGTTGACATGACAATAAAAAAAGAAGAATCCATCATAAAGGTAAGCCGCTATTTGGCTATATCTAGATTCCTGTAACTACTTTGTATTTTTTTGTATATTCAAGAGACCTTTAATCAAATATTGACTAATTCAGCTCTATACGTCTTGTATAATAGGTTAGTTTATCACTCACATTGTGCTCAGTAGAGGACCCGGACATATGTGCAGAAACGCTGGAACTTCTTTCTTCTGCGGAGTTTAATATCGAATCAACTCCTGATTGTACGAGCACACCAGATTGTGAGTATAAAAAGAGGTCCAAATATCCGTTCTCTAGTGGATATATTTTTAAAGCTAAATCCCATATTAGAATTTATGAAGAATTGTAAACAGACGAAAACATGGATGACAATGCCAAGCAAAATCATTTTTTGAAAAGCTGCACTATTTTTATGTTTCTAATATTTTAGCTACTGAGGAAAATATGGCAACAGTAATGGCCAAAACTTACAGTAAGTCATTTGCATAAATTATGCACTATCCCATATATTACATTTACATTAGCCTCTGAATCACCAAATTCTGACAGCCTACAGCCTCGGGAACATGTCAGTGGACAGGATATTCCCCTGGAAAAATATTTGTATACTATTTGTATATTACTATTTGTATATTACTATTTGTATACTACTGTCTACTTTATACTGTTTTTTATTTTTTGGAAAAAGAAGTTTAATTCACCAGAAGGAATTTGATATGGGGAATATCACAAGGATGATATCAATATTTCCCGAGGGAACGCAGTGACAGAGGGAAATATTGATATGATCTGAGGATATTTCTCATATCACCCCGACAGGTGAATAACGACCTCATACCATGGTCAAGAGCCAATATCTACCTAAAATCCTCTGTTGAATGAGAAAACTTTGTTGAAAAATGAAAAACTTTGGGGAAAAATGAAAAATTTTGAAAAATTTTAAATATTTGAAATACGAATGTCGAATTTTGAATATAACACTGGGGTTGATATCTCAATATCATCCATGATATCATATCCCTATCCCAAATATATGACTTACCACTTGCTATTATATACCTGATATTGCTCTGATCATGGTATTAATGCTCATATATTGGGTTATTATCTGAAACCTATGTAATCCTGCCCGGAAGACTTCTACACTTCTCATTGTGTTAAATAGGTTTCGAATTTGGTGAAATGACTTTAAGCGATTATGAAAAGCTCGTTGCAACGAGTGATGGAGGTGGCATGTCTGACTTGATGAAAGATATTCGATTAATCTATCAGAAGCTCGTGAGTGCATCTTATTTTTGTTTACTGCCGATGAACCCTTTCCATATTATGTAAACGCAAATGTAATACTTCATTTATTGGAGAAACGCAATGTCCATTTATTTGAACGTATACCCAGGCTATAGGCTAGTTGAGTAAATTAGAGCTTCAATGTCCGTTTGAAAATTATTCTGTTATTATCTGTTTAGATAGTGACCAACCTGAAAAGAAATACGAAATGGTTAATGACCAAGACAGAAACCTTTTATCAACATTAATTGTTTGTCCTAATAATATACCGTTATTTGTGATCTAAGCTGGTAGAAGAAATAAACAAATTGGTGAACGCTATATGGACAGAGGACTTTGAGTCATTCGATGTTTGCTTAGACGGAGACCATATGTTTGGGCCTTATGATGCGCAGTTCTTTGATTTGGAGATGCCAATGATGGTTGGTCCAGTTCCCGTAACATTTGGTAAATATGTTTTTAAACTTTACAACAAACTAAATATTTACCATTTGAAAAGAAATCTAATTACAAATGGCAGCTGATTTACAAATAAAAACATATAGAATATAAGCAGATCTTATATGCTGTAAAACTGTCATTTTTGCTGTTCAGGATTTGAAGCGAAAGGTAACTATGGAGTTGGTTTTAGTTGCGGGTTCTGTATTCTCTCAATGAAAGTGATGGTAAGACAGCTCGATTGATACCTACTCTAATATAGGACTTTCAAATTAATGCTCTTTGTAGTACTACTCCAAGTGATATAAAGTATTATATAAGTATTATATTTTCATTGTGAATTAATGTGAAGACCCTTTAAAAACGACCTTGGAATTATTGTTTATCTGATGCTTAATTTCTGTTATGTGTAGTAATGCTTCAAGCTTTACACAAACGAAATTGTAATAACTTCAGTTTTAATGGAATTGTCCCCTTTTTGTTGTTGTCTCGTACTGCGAGTATGGTACATAAATGGCTGGGGATTAGATATTGCTTCCTTTACGTTAGTTTCTGGTTCGGGATTATGACTAGTGTTTTCTTAGATGTTTTCTTTTTTCATTGCGTTTTGTCATTGCCCTTTGAAACTTGTGCATGTCATGAAATGCCTGGGATATCAGAATCTAATGGTATTATATTGTTTTGCAAATCGACAATTTTTTAGCATTAAAAAACATATATTATGCCCACAAGGAAAATAGAAATAAATCAAACATTTTCATAACAAGAGATGGTTCTTAATCAAGAAGATAATATACATTTGTTTTGTTTTCTGTATTGCAATGATTTGTGTCTTTTTACCTTGAAAGAATCATTTTACAAGGATTGTTTTAATGGTTTGATTTTTGACTTTGGAATCCGAGGTCGTTTTGATAAAGGACCCGTCATTGTCGCAGTGCCAATTATAACTGAACACTAAAAATATTGATAATGGCTCAGATAGTTTATAATAACTGTCACCTGCAATAATCTAGGGAGGAGTAAATCCTATGATGGGTATTTCCGTGTCGGGTTCAGTTGCCGTTGGTATAAAGGTAATTGAGGCTAAAGTAAAGATAACAGGACATATAATGACTACAGGATTTCCAACAAGAGCAGAAATAGGATTTAGCAAATTCCCAATGGATGCCAGGTTAGTACTTCTAATGCGTGTTTTTGATATTTAGTAAATATGTAACTGGAGCATTGATTGTGAGATGTGATGAATATCCTGAACGTGTAACCATGCATAGCGGGAGCGGGAGAGATAAATGTTCAAGGAGCGGATGTTAAATTGTTTAAACAATGCTTGTTTCTATTGTATCTAAAAGGTAGACTGTGGACTCACTCACTTACAAATCTAATTTGGGTATTTAATAAATTAACAATGATGAATCGCCTTCAAATGACAAACTCAATGGTTGTGTAACCAAATAAATTGCGTATAAAAATGGTTGAATATATTGGTTGAAACGATTATTGACCAATGGTTTTTCTCTTGAAGCAATGCTTTTTCCTTTGATCTATAAGGTTGAAAAACTGATGCTTAAATAATTGGCAATGAAATCATTTGAGTTCGGACTTTAAAAATCGAATTATTCATAAAAATTATTTTTAATATAATCAATTAAATGAGCCACTTAAACAATTACACGAGAATGGATACAATACTTGTACAAAGACAAATATCACATTGATATACATATTTTGCAGTATGGGAATGGATTTAAATCTGGTACCACTAAGATTGGAATTAGAAACTGGTCTGACAATATTTGGGGCCGAAATCTTTATGATAAATGTGTGGGAATATACAACTCCGATGATAAGGAAAAATATTTTCCAAATCAACGACCCTAAAAAAGACGATTCACCTCCAGATTTCAGTATTTATGAGGTAAGGTCTTCTCACAAGGGTGTATGGTAAAGCTTATAGAATTCTTTCGAGATAATATTGAAACTAGCAAAACAAAATCCTGTAGTACTGTATCGGTATAGACACTGCGATGGGCAGTACGAAGGCCAATTTTTGTTAAAGGATTAAGTCCCAGACTGAATGCGTTGTGGGTTCATTCCACAAATATATTGTTTTCAGACCTTTTTATGAATTATTTTCACACATTGCAAAAGATTTTACACGGTTACTTAAACAATGATTTTTGAAAGGAAACTTCTGACAGGGTTAACATCGAGACTCGATCAACTTGAGACTCGTTCAGCACCAATCATTTGACACGCACAAGCACTTGGCTTGTTATCGCACTTTGACAAAATGCTATATTACCGTAGTCTTGTGCTGTTGGGCGGACGGTCAGATGACGTGCAGGCGGATGGGCGCCACATAAATCAAATCGTGTAATCAAAATCCAAGGACAACCGCCTAATGCCAAGATCTGGTCAGGCTTAGGGCATACTCTGTGAATTACTTGGCGGGCATTTTTAATTTTTAAAATCCTTTCACCAAATTCCAGGCAAACCACGTTTCCGTTCAACTTGAATTTTTTACACATGCAAGAGCAGACTTGCGGCAGGATTTGATTACATCCTGGGTATGTTTACTAAATAACATGAGATAACATGATTTTTCTCGATAAATTTCGATTTTTTTATCTTCTTCACATGGAACAAATTTATTTTCAAAAATCAGTGAAAAGTTCTAAGGATTTCAGATTCGACCTAGGATTTGAGACTTGACCTAT